GCGGGCTGGCAGCGTGTTCCCCCGGCCTCGTCCTCCCGGGCGGCCGTATCCTCCCGCTGCCCGCATCTCCATTGTTCCTGGTGTAAGGGAGGTGAAGTGTGCCGACTTGCGAAAATGTATTTAATTTAATTCAATATTTTGAGTAACCTTCTCCAAGTCTCCTCTCAGCTGTGCGGAGGAAGCTTTTGCAAGGGACCTCTCTCCAGCGTCGGGAGCTGCTAACAAGTGCCAGGCTGGAAGTGGTTGGGAGGGCAGGAGGGATCAGTAGGAGTTGAGGAGAAATTAGTTGGGCTTTAAACACTTTCACTCTTCATCATCTTTCCTCCCCCAATTCCTGCCAAACCTCAGCTGGGATGAGTGCAGCAATGTCTCTATTAAGTTGGCTCATAAAAAGGGAAGACGTTTCTGTTGCAAACGTAAATCATCTCTCCGATCTCTTAGATTTCATAAACTGTTCAGAGCAGCTGGAGGGCTTTTGCACAAGGATGAAGAAAAGTAGATATGTGAAATGCAGTGATCACAGCTTTAATCTTACTTTGAAAGTCTACTTGGAGCATGACCTATCTCTCTCGCTGCATACGTGTGACATTGTGGTCCAAGAAGTTTTAGATGGGAGAGATGTCTTATTTCTGATGAACAGCATCTTTGCCATTGGTACAAGGCAAATGACACAGGACCATAGTTTTTCTTTTGAATAGGATCTCCACTGCTCTGTTTATTTGCTGTACTTATTCACAAATTTCAGTAATACTTTACAGGCTGGCTAGGAATATGTACCTGGGCCTGTCACGCTTAAACATTTTGGAGTGCCTGGATCAGATTTCATCCTTGTACGTGGTACAACTTTTGCAGTCATTCTCCATGAGTTTGGTGAAGCATGCCTTGTGAAGGAAAAAGGTGGAAAAATAGTGCTAACTTGTACCACTTTTTGCAGGTGTTCTTATGCTGTACTCAGAATCAGACTAGATAAACCAATGGTCTGATCTAGACTTAAAATCCATACTGATATGTAAAAAGTTTGCATACCTTCAGGCAGTGTCAATTTTTTAGTGTTCCACTTCCAGTGTTTGGGATTTGTGTGTGTGTCCAGTGACAGCTGTCATCTGCAGAAGCTTTGGCTGTGCTGGGAAGCTTTAGAGCTTGTGAGGCCTGCTTTCCTGTGGATCTCATGGGATCTGCAGACTCCTGGTACAGCGTATGGACAGGTTCATAGGACGGGCAAGCAAACCCTGCTCTTGTTGCTGTAATTAAGGAAAACTCTACAAAATTAATTTTTCACTTGCACAGCTTACTGAAAATCAGTGTCATGGCTTTTCTTGATGAATACTCAGCTGAATGTACATGTGTGTTCAGTTCCGAAAAGTGTTTTCTTTGTAGTTGTTTCTGGATGTCTGCATGCCCTTCTTCCCCAAATATACATGTAGTTAGTCAGTGAGCTCATAACTGAATAAAGTTAAAAAAGATAAGGCTGAACTCTTGTATTCAGGCTGTCACGTGCACACACGTACTTTTTCTGTCTTCACTCCTCAGACTAAGGCCTGAGAGAACAGATGTATATGTAATCTATGTTTCTGTTATCGTCCTTCTTGTCCATGTGTGTTTAATTTCTACTGTATTGCAAACATACTCTTTTTATGGAAAATCCCTAATAGAATGAATTATGAAATCAAATCGTAAGTAGATAAATAGCTACCTGAAGAACCACAATGGTTAAAAAAATGGGAAGAAGAATTACTCAGAATGTGAAAAGTGATATTACAGGCTTAATTGTTCACCTCAAGGAACACGTACTTCTGTAATGTTATTGTGTAGCTTCTCAAAAGATGATTTGCCCTCTCAGTTCAGTGTATACAAGTTTATTTGTATGAGGATTTAAAGCTCTGTGGAGCATGCATGTGTTCTAGAGACAGTTGGCATTGTAAAACCATTGAGGTTAGAAGTTCTTACTTCCAGCTGAGAACTTCTGTGTACCAGTAATGTTAGAGCTGAACTACAGGAATACTAAGAAAATACTACTCAGTGAAATACAGTGACGATATATCTAAAAGAGTTTAACTCACTTCTAGATGGGTTCTTTGCACCACAGGTTTGATAATGTAAATTTGCAAATAGTTAGCGGATGGATTCAGGTAAAACATTTTAAAATTTACTAATGGGGAGGAAGGGTTTTGTTGTATTCTGGAATTTTGGAGAAAAGCAGAGTGGGATTGTCTTCTGTATCTGCTGCTAGAGATTTGTGATGTTTTTTGTGACTAAGATCTTTGTAGAGTCTTCCTCTGGTGAGTACTGCTATGTGGGCTGTTCTCCCGCTGTAAATATCACAAATAGAGACTTGTCTGTATGGACTAACTTGATGGAGTGGGCCTTAATCTATCAAAACCACTTTAAGTGTTTAGCATAATTTGGGATTACGTTTGATTTCATTTTGGCTCTAATATAAAATATATTTTTCTGTGTGAAGTAACAAAAGTTAAATAAGAAATAGTAATGTTGGTATAATGTCTTTGATAAGTAAACATACTGTTGTTACCCTAAACATGAAAATGAAGTGCCCAACTTTCTTGTCCGAATTTACTGTCTTGTATATTAAATTAATGGGACAAGGAATGAAAAGTAAATGCCATTGGAAATATTTTTTTACTTTGAAGACTCTTAAGTGGATCTAACAGAGAAATAGATATGTTTTATTTAAAATAAGTACTTTTTGTGCCTTTGCCTGGCATTTTAATGACAGTTGCCTTTCAAACCAGCATCATTTATGATGAAATAGATTCAAGCCTTCACCTTGCAGTCTGATCTGCATAACTGAGTGTTTAAAGACAAATGAAATCCCACAAAATCTCCATAGATGTAAGTAGACATGGGTGTCTGCTTCTGTCAGGTTGCAAGGCTTATGTGAAGGATCAGTACTGTGATTAACTTGCATTTTAATTTGTTTGGTTTTTTGACAAAAATACTTTTGGGAAAATAGTGTTCTTGGAGTACTGAGATTCATAAATTTTCTTGTTTTATTTTTTGACTTCTGTGTATTGGAATCAACACAGAAACCTTTGAACTAGTATTGAGTTTATACATTTAACTTACTGTTTTTTAACAGCTGAGACATAGCTATTGACAGGCCATATCAGCAAAACACAGCCATTGGCTATAATATATAGCTATACGCTAAGCACAAACTTCTGTCTAACAAAAGAAAATCCATTCAGGTTTTCATGAGATTTATTTTCATTTACACAAATGCTTAGTTACTTTATTTCAGTACTTTCCAGTGAAGTTAAAAACACAACTCCATCTGTTTAGCTCATTAGTACTCTATATACTTTTAAAATTTACATTTTTTCATCATCTACATAGAACAGAATGTTTTATACGTCAGCAATAATGCTGTAAACTACACAAATGACATGAGTTTAACCTATTTAACTTACAAATTGTCATACAAATTAAAATACAATAACATTTGTGAGTATTTGAATATTACATGTGATTAAATTGTCTTCCCCTGACTCCATATAGAGATATTTTTCATATATCGTTCAGCATGTTGGATAAAATATCTGGAAAAATCCATAATATGTTCCCACAGTACTTGATTATAAGTGTGTCCAAAGGGGAAATTTGGTGTCTTTTAGAAAGACTGTAGAAAGCACAACATGCAGAAGGGTTAGAATCTCCTGATAACTTCTTCCATACAGTCAGAAATTTATTTGGAGAGATAACATAGAGACTGATACGGCTTTTGCTTAGAAATAATTTTTAGTATACTCTTCTGATATTATCAGTGTGTTAATGTATTCAGGGCTATGATACCAAGAGGTAACAGTGTAAATACTGTAATATAGTTGATGTATTACTAATGGATATTACTTCATGATTTCATTGCACTTTGGAAAACAGCAAGACAGAGCTCTTTAATGGGGTATGTGTATTGGCCTGATCCTGCAATTGATATACTCTACTGGCATGTTAGTATTACAGTATCTGCATCTTGTCACAGTTTGTGCAAAAAACTTTAAAACAGTACTATCTAATTTTTCCCTTATGACTAGGATGACATTTTTATAAGTGCAGAATTAAACAGTCTGACAAAATGAAATTTGTGTGGGAAGAAGTTCCAACCTGCAAACAGCGGTAGGGTATAATTTATGAACAGCCTATCAAATATAAACTGTCTAGATCTCTTGCACTGGGGGAAAAAAAATAATCAACAAACCAAAAATCAAGGTGCCTGTAAAATGTCTGTAAAACAAAAAGATTTATTGATATAACGTGATATTACTAATGCATAAAGCTGTTGCAGTGTCTGTGTAAGTAAGCTTAGATATGAGGCTGATAAGCCTTCTGCTCTAAAATTGGATCTATAAGGTAAAAAAGATGCCCATTCATAAAGATTTTGACAAGTATCTTAATGTAATTGTAATAATTTTCCATAAAGTCTGTAATAACTTTTACTACTTATGTACCCCAAAATGGATATAAAAGACATCATTAGAAAGGTTTACAATGCCAGTAACATCATGAGCAGGTCATGTTACCTTAGTGCAGGAGGTGAAGTGAGAAATATTGATGCTGGGCAGATTTGACGTAGTCATATGTTCAATAGCAGTGTTTAAGAAAGGGGAAACGAACGTTGTTTTACACTCTCTGACTTTTAACTGCTACATGATTGCCCTGAAAATTTGTCAGGTTTCTTTTTTTCTGTTGTTGGGATTAGATTTGAACAAACAAGATGATGATATGCTTCTAAAAAGTATGTGTGCATATGTGTGTATATATGTATATGTAAAACACTTGTAGCATGTATTTATGATGATGTCTGGCCTAAAGCTCTAGTGATGGAGTATGAGAAATGTTCAGCACAAAATGAAGTTTATTTTGCCAAACAATAAGCAGCATATTATGCTGGTTAGCTGCCTGGCATGTAGCTGTGATCTGTAGTTTGCTGGGAAGAGGCAAAGCAAGTAAGCAGCATCTAAATTCACCGGCTTTCTGCAGGCTTCCTTTGGTAGTGAAAACTATTTAGTCTTACTTTCAACAAGTGAATCTGTAGTATTGCATTGCAAAGATTCTTCAGTTTTGTAAAGGGAGGGGAGAGGGAGCAAAATGAGTATTAAAGCCAAGAAATGAGTACATTTCATGGGATCCATGGATGATTTTTTAGTCTGTAAACATTATAACAGTCAGTATTTCCAGATGCAGTAGATGATTCCAGAGTTTCTCAAATAAGAGTACTCTGAAGGATATTATCATCTCTGAAGTATGATTCTCCTCTGATTTTGGCCACATACGCAGTGGTTCCTAAGATAGGTCACTGTTATATGCGAGTCTCTGTCAGGCAAAATATATGTAAGGGGGATGACAATTGTCAGGCTGCTAAGTTGGGTCATTCATAGCACTGAGCATTTATAGAGACAACAGTAACTGTATAAATAAATTTAAGAAATCTTCTCATTTTGTGTCCTTAAAGTTTCTTTTAACAAAGAAGTTCTTCATGAAAGATTAGTAAACTCAACTAACTCCCTTATTGCTAGAGTAATCTTACACGTCTTACCTTGAAGAAAATTTTTGTCATGACCACAGTAGATCAACTGCAGATGGAGGTGGTCAGTCCTCAGGGTACCAAGATATGATAGAATTATTTTAGACCACAATCACTTGCAGATTTTCTAGACATGTCCACGCAATATTGGTTTTCAACTTATGTTTTGACCTTATAACCATTTTTGGGGGTAAAATCTAGTGTGAAGGTGCACTGCGTGAATATTACTCTAACAATATCAAACAGAAAAGAATCATTCACATGGGAGAAAGACTGCTGTCATCCCACAAGGAGGAAAGCTTTATTAGGCTGCTGTTCTCAGGAACTTCCTCTGTCACTGGTGAACCTGACAGTTACACTCTGTGATGAATTTTCATCTGAGTCAGCAAAAAGATGTGAAAGTTATGTGATTGTCTTCTGGGGATCGGGAAAGTTGCTATTGTTAGGGGGTGTAAGGAAGTAAGGGAAAGCTACTTGGCTTTAATGTTGCTTTTTCCTGGTAGAGTTTATGAAGTTTTATTTTTAAATGATTCATAGAAAATAATTTTTATGTATTTAAAATGATCTTTTTATGATTACCAATTATTTATACCTGACATGAAATTAATGGATTGGGAGGGGGAATAAAATAGAGTTTCTAGAAAAAGAGTGTGCAGAGGATGATCATCCAGTTGTCACAGTATATTTCTTGAATATGTAGAATAGGTGGCAATTTGTAGACAAAGCCAGTGGGCTTGTTGTCTTAATCTGACAGTTAAAAGTAGATCATGCAAACCAGGCATGTTCTGGTGCCCGTTAGGAACCTACACTCAGTGTTATATACACTGTTTTGGATCAAATATAAGGCAGCTTTAAGTGTGCGATTACTGTCACTTTTCAACAAATAGCAATGTAAAAGCACAAACTGACAGAAAACCTAATCTCTCAATTCTTTGTATGACCTTGCAGTTTACTGTCTAGCGGGTCTTTGTGTTGTCCCTGATTTACATTCCTTACAAGTCACAGGACAGGCGTGGGGCTTTCCACAGTTGTGGTGGTGATGAGAGTATGGCTGCGTTATCCAGAAAGTGTGGAATCTGCTGTAGTTATGTGTTACATGCTTAAAATTTGCTGTAGCATTGGGCAACTCTTCATTTCTCGTCTTTGGTTGGACACAAGTTCAGCAAAGCGATCTTGGCTCCAGTACTTGCATCTTGGGTGCCTGAAATAGTTGCCCTGTTACCTATGGGACACATCTGTGCATTGAGGGAACTTGGGTGAGTGCGGCTGCATCTGGGTTTTTCTTTTACCAGAATCCTGTAAGAATATTTTCTTACTTTACAGGTTGATTTCCTGCTTGCTTAGTAATATGGGTTGTATTGAATGTATTTCACTAAGACTTGGCTTCGTCTTGAAGTTATTTGACTATGAGTTCTCAGATATTTCAGATCTGTTTGTGATGCTAGCTCTTAATTGTGGGCCTGTGAGTTAATGGCATCATGAACCTTCAAGATTTTTGTTCCTAATGATTATAGGAGTTATTATAAACATGAATCATATCTTTTGATCAATCTGAATTTCTGTTTTAGTGTATTCTGGCACTTAATTAGTGAGAATTAGCTGCAGGGTACCAAAGTCATTGAGGTAGAATCCAATTTCCACAATCTTTTTATTCAAAAGGGTACAATCCTGAGAAGTCTCAGTTTTATTTTTTGGATTACTTTCGATGTTAGTTAATGGGCCAGGATATCTCTCTTATTATTGCTCTTATAAAATGGCTTCTAGACATCTCATGTTTTGGCTTGCCTTGATCTGAAAACAGGCTTAAGTGCTTTAAAATTGTTTGAGAAATGTAAAACTGTAATGAGGAATAATCACCTTGGGGTATGTGATAGAAGTCAGCAAGATTCCTTGTTCATACCGTTCTCAGAGTACCAAGGTGAAGAGTTACTTGGAAGTTCGTGTTGGGGTTGTGAGTAGTCTTTTGAAGAGGATACACTGCAGAAGCACACTGGATTTAGTTGTTACTTGATTTGACTTTTTTTTTTTTTTTTTTTTTCTTTGTAGTGAGGATCAGCCAGATTAAAAAAGGCTGACTTACAATTCTGGAATTTTATGTAAGCGGGATAGGAAAAGTTCTTAGTTGATTTAATCTGACCACAAGTGTTGGTTATCAGTAGGGAGGTGGTGGATTTGTTGCAACAGTGTGAAAAAAAAATTCTAACTGTACAGAAGTGTACTCTTAAACAACTTCTTTGCTGTCTTGGCAAATTTACGTGGTCTGTAACATGCTTGTGTTCCAAGAGGGGGTTTTGAGAAAGTGACCTAGTTGCTCACTTCCATGAATTTAGAGTTTATTTCTACTCCTTCCCCCTTTGGCTGATTTAATACTGTCTTTAAATACTCACATGTGTCCGTTTCTGTGCTGATTCTTCTGCTTATTCTTGATGAAGATGCTTGATGCTGTTCTGATGCAGTTGTAGCAGAGTGCTAGTTAGGCCACAACAATCCCTGATTCCACTGATGAAAATTGCTCCTTGGTGCCCAGTTCATAATTGCTTGAATACTTTGAAGAACAGTGATAGATTTGTTTGTTTGTTTTTGTTCACTGTTCGTCAGTGGTCTCCCTAAGGGACCATTGCAAGATCCTCTGCTCCTTGTTTTTCATCATGCATTAAAGGAGAGAAAGGGCTACCACCAGAGCATGCTGTCTGAGATGCTGCTTCTAACGATACCTAAATCCTTGCAACTTCACTGTTTTTATAGTCTTACACAGCTGCTGTCTTTGAAGGGTCCAAACACCTTATGGAAATGTCTTGTGCGTTATGATTAGTAAGTGTTACCTGTGATTCTTTTGCTTTCCTCAGGGGATTATTATATGGGTTTATTTTATCCATCAACTGTGTTATGTGTGTGTTGCCTTGTGTTTATGTTAGCAAAAGTGAAGTAGGTATTTATGCACTTGAAGTAGTTTATTTTCTTTGTTTCATGTTTAGTTTTGTAATTTTTAGTTGCTGGGTGTATTAGTCTTGTGGAAGAGGCCCCTGAAAGGCCTTTACTTTTTTTGTAGGTAGGGTAGACCTATGGCATTTGAGGAGTGGAACACTCAACAGAGATCTATGTCTTTGAGCTGTAGGAAGGGCTTTTTCAGATCCTCTGGCCCAGACCAGTGGTGACTCTGAAAGATGGCCACTGAAAGTAACACTGTGATGTTTTAGAAACAATATAGAAAGCATAGGATTTGCTTGGTCGGTCTGCCATGAATCTTGTACTAAAGAGGTAATCATTGTATCATGTTAAGGACTAACTGGATTTTTTGAGGTTACTGTTCCATGTGTAGATGAAGGGTATGTTTGAAGCACAGCTGAAATGAAATAAATAGCTGTTAAAAATGAAGTTATACTGGGGTATGACACTGCCTCCTCAGCAGGTTTAAATGAGAAAATG